ATGCACCAACCATCTAGAAATGAATATTGCTCACTGCTTTTTGTTTTCCCACAAATCGAGGTAGCAAATACATTAAAATGCTAATGAATTCTTCAATCAGAGCTAAGCCTACTGAACATTCCACATTCATCGTTGTGTGATTTAAACTGCTGAAGGTGATGGTGGCAGTCAGTGGCCATGCCATGCCAGATTGATCAGAAATTCCACACACCTTCATACAGAATCATTGCAAATGAAAGCAGGGAATTAGTTCAAAGTATCCAGAAAGAGAAATCTCCTGATTTGCTGATAAAAGTACTTGTTGTTTACACTATTATCTGTAATGAAGTTGGGGGTTTTTTAATTGATCAACATTAAAATCTCAAATCAGTGAAGCTCAGCACATGAAATTGCACTTGTTGGTATGGGAAATTATTCTTTTTTAATTAATTGAACTGTTTTACGTCTGTGAAGCTATGAGTATTCAATGATGTTTCCTTCTCCTGTTTTAGGAAGTATTGCAATCATTGTTCCCCTTGTTTTACTGGTAACTTTGATCACCACCCTGGTAATTGGACTATTTCTTTGCAAAAGGAAAAGAAGGTAAGTCATTTTATATTGATGTATGAAGTAAGAAAACAGTGAAGTATGTGCATCTTTTTGATATACAAAAATTCACTTTATATGTGTTGAGTAGATATTAGAAACAAAAACAAAACCACAACAAATGACCCAAAACTTGTTTCTGTATGCAGCAAGTCAGTTACATTTTGGATCTTGCTGGAACAACCATGTCTATTATTTATCCTTATATTACTTATATTTATTATTATAGATTCATATATACATTCCACATACACTAGATAAAAAATTTCAGATTTTGCCCAATATTGCCAAAACTGTATAAGTGTTAATAACTTTATCCTGAAATTTAGAGAACCTAATGAACAAAATAAATATATTTCACTGAAACCACATAATTAATATTGTTCAAGCTATAGTGAAGATGTACACAATGCTCAATTTACTGTAGAGTCCCAAGCCTTGTTGTCATTACTGTGTTCCTTTAGTATCTTGCACAGGAAGCCAAATTCCAGCACTGAACAGGGAATCTTCTGTTCTCTTGAATTTAGCTGCCTTAGAGTTGATAATGAACTTGGGGAGGTGTATTAGACTTCTTGACTTTGGGCATTTCTTCAAAGGCCATGTCAGATGGCCAGGGAGGCAAGAGTGGTTCTGCTGTATGCAGACACCCAAGACAGCTGCTGACTTTCTCATGTTCAGAGAAAAAAAGAAAATGATGGTGATGGTGATGCAGATTTAACAAGGAAAGATTCCTAGTAATAAGGACATGGCTCACTCAGGAAGACCTGGAGTGGGAACCAGACAGCAAATCATTTACTTCAGGCCTGTAGCTGTCCTGTTTGTTGGCCTTGAGCATCTGGTTTCCTTTCTCCTGGGGCTTGTTACCCTATCTCTGAAACCAAGATAATATCTTTTTGTTAAGTCCTTCAGAAACATGCGATTAATCTATTGTTTCTGCAAATGTGATAATTTGCAAGACTATTTCAGTCCTCTAGGCTAAAAGAATCTTTTAAGTCACTATGATCTGGCATGATACACAGCATCTCCCCTGCAAACTCTGGTGTAAATTCGTAAGCATCAATTTTTAAAACCTTTTTGAGAAGCCAACAAGATAAATACATTCCCTGACCATAGTGTTAGCAATGCTGACCCTGCCAGGCTCCATGGATGTCATTATGTGCTGCTTGTACCTAAACCATCAAGTTTAGTGATAGCCAAATACTGAAAGCCAGTTGCTGCTCTGTAAATTATTTAAGTTACTGAGAATCACTTGCTAAATAATAGATTTTCTGTAGAGAAATAGAACTAGCCTCAATAAAGAATTTCCTTCTTAAAATTATCTTTGAAAATGCGTTTTAGGGTTATTTTCTCTCCTCTAAAAAGACTGTCAAGTATTAAACTAGGTGTAGTTGTTCAACACTTCTATGCTACAGTCAAGTGCTTATTTAAGGAAATATTTTTTCTCTGCTATTTCTGAAAAATACAGATCATTTAGTGTATTGGGTTTCAGACACTGTCTGCATCGTTCTCAACCAACAAGAGGACTCGACTGTTATCATCCTGACTGTGACTTCCCCATTATTCCCTTGTAATTCTAGAGAGCATATTGCATTTGGAAAAAATTACCCTCTTGAGGTTATTTCAATTGCTCAGGCTGAAATCACCTCCTTTGCTAAAAGAAACGAATTCAGCAACTGAAACAATTCAACTCTATCAGTTATCTTTACTGATATCTAATTCAAGGTTAAAAATAAGACCCTGTCTGTTATTAAAGTTTGAAAAAAATTCAAGTTGAAGTTCAGCTTTCTAATAACCACTGGCAGGGAACACAAACTAAAACTACAGGAAGTTCATACATTTTTAATACGTTGTAATGAAACCATTTGCTTGTCCTCAGTTTACAGCTGATTTTGGGCAACTGATTTGAAACAGGAGTGAAAGGAATGAGTGAGGGAACGTGGCTCGTGTTCAGTCCATTCCTGCAGGGAATCTACAATGAATTTGCAAGGTGTTCCTTGGGAAGTGAGGGAAATCTGGAAATAATTGGAGGAAGTCAGGGTTATAGATGATGAGTTAGCACTTTGTATGAATTCATACCATTATAACAAACTGAGAAAAACAAAATTCTGCTTCCAGCTTCTGTGAGATCTGTACATAGACTCAGATTGCTACTTTGCTTGAAAAATGGAAGGATTTTCTGGTTGTCTCTGCAGGAAATGTTTTCTCATCCTGTTGGTCTTAGAGATTAAAGAGAAACAAAATAGCCAAGAAATGACTTAAGAGTCACTAGCTTCTTTTTTTAATGTGTGTCTTTATGCATTATAGGACAAAAACTATCAGAAGACAACCCATGATAAATGGAGGACTCAATGTAGAAATTGGCAATCCGTCATATAACATGTATGAGGTGGGCCATGACCACAGTGAAGGTGGTCTTCTAGCCTCAGATTTCACTGTAAATGCAGAAAAGGTAATTTTTTTCTTTTTCTAGTGACAAAACCATTACTTATGTCTTACAAAGGTTTTGACTTTAAATGTAATGAATAGAAATGTAGAACAATGACATTTAAACTTAGATAATGAATATTAAGGCAAGCTAGATTTCATTAGTATAAATGTCATGTATATATTAACACCTGTTTTGCAGTCTGGTGCTTGCTGATGATCACTTTTCACAGTGCCTGTATTTTACCAAAATAATGTTAGAACTGAACTGCACACTGAGGGTTTTTTTTGTCATAGACACATCTGCCTTAAGTGACCAAATCACAACCTTTCTTTTTTAGCCTAGTGGCAAATATTGAATGGAAATATATTAGGTGGTGAGACACTGGAGCAGGTTGCCCAGGGACCTAGTGGCTGCCTTGACCCTGGTGGTATTCAAGACCAGGCTGGATGAAACCTTGAGCAATCTGATCTAGTGAGGAGGTGACCCTGCCCAGGGCAGGGTATTGGGACTAGATGATCTGTAAGGTCCATTCCAACCCTTAAATACTATGATTCTATGAATGCCTATGAGACTATTGCCCAGGGAGGTGGTGGATTCACCATCCCTGGAGGTTTTCAAGACAAGACTGGATGTGGCACTTAGTGATGGTAGGGTTGGACTCGATGATCTTTGAGGTCTCTTCCATCCTGGTTGATTCTATGACTCTATTTCACATATGAAAACATCCAAAGGCATCAAGAATTGGGATTCCTGTCAGGATAGATAGATTAAATGTTTACACAAAGCTAGTAAGTATTATCATTTCCTTGTGAAAGATGCTGTCACTTGTACAGCACCACTCCTCAGTGATTGAACTCCCTGAGTGATGTGACATGGGATGAACGGGGTAATGCTGCGATATCTTTCCTAGAGCTCCGTAATCAGCCACACACCAAAGGGCAGCCATCATTCTGTGGCATTTCTGACAAAGCAATAACTGGATTACTGATAGCTCTAGGAATGTCATCGCTGAATCACATAGGCAGTGTGCTGAATACAAGAGGTAAGCTGAAAATGGAGTTACTCACTGGAGGCAGAGGGACTGAGCCGATGCTTATTGTGAAGTCTGGCTCTAATCCTTAATGGAAAATGATTGTAAAATGCTGAGTGTTATCCTCCTGTTGAATGCAAGGATATTTTTTTCATCCTGAAGAATACCTGCAAGAAGATTTGCTGAAATGTAGACCACTCTAAAATGATGTTTTTAATTGGTGCACTGTTTGCTTAACAGTGTTGATAAGTACACGTGGAAAATGCTCTATTAGCACAGAAACTAAAATTTTCTGTTTATACAGGCCAGATACATAGGGGGAGGGCCCACTGCATTCAAGCTTCCACACACAGCTCCATCAATCTACCTAAACTCTGACTTGAAAGGACCACTATCAACAGGGGTGAGAAATGATGATTCAAATCCATTTCATTCCACCACAGCCCCTTTCTAAAGCAAGTTTGTTTGTCATATTTGGGTAGAGGCATTTTCTGTTTGTGTTTAGTTTTGTTTTTCTTCTTTTAGTGGAAAGAAGAATGACAGTAAACAATACATTTTCCATTTAAAATAAAGGGTCCCTCTCTGCATACAAAATTTCATCTGTTCCCACCATTGTAACATGATCTAAAACTGCAAATCTGTCTTTGCAAAGGAATGAAAAGCTAGTAAGCCATGTGATGCATTTCCCTCACACTATATAAGTTTAGCATGGCATTCACAGCCGTGTATCAATATATTTGCAATTCCTATGTAATTACAGGCATTTAGTGAAGCTTATCAAAGAGAAAGATGATACCAAATAATGGAAACCAGTGCTGTTATTTTAGAGGAATTTGGTGCACACACATCCTTTAATATTTGCAATACATCTTTTGATTATTCAGCTTCCAATGGATTTGTATCATAAAGCAGTTCCTTCTAAAACATCAGATTTTTACTACCATTTAGCATGATGTTTGCAAACATTGAAATTTAAAGCACAAAAGGGAGATCAATATGACATTCATTTTCATGTGCCTGAATATATATTCATCTTTTGTGCCATTTGTGTTCTTGCATGATTGTAATATGTTGTATTTGGAAGTTTAACGATTTTTATAGGGTATGATTTTTCTGATGGAGCACAGAACCCATGGATGATGAAAGCTAGAATATTTGCCCACCTCTAACTTTCTTAAATTCTAGTCACTCCAGCTTCTGTAGCTCACTGTACTGCATTATGCTACCAGTATCCACTCAAAGAGGTACATGAGGCAGAGCCTACTGTTAGATATAATTTTAATAACTCCATGAGACATGATATAGATGCCAAGTGTCTCTGTTCTGTTGTGATTTTCATCCTTAATAATGGTCATCAGTGAAATAAAAAGTCCTGACAACAAAAACAGAACTAAATTTATGTTTTCCAAAATTTCTCATTATAATGATGACCACAAATGTAAAGATCTCCAGTGGGGTCAGACACTCACCTGTTTCTGCCTCCATTCAGGAAAGCCTGGACCACCAAGCAACCACTTTGTCATCTCTAATAGATGGACTAGGCAGTTTTTACCTAACTAAATGAGCAGCTGCCATAGCTACTCAGCCTGAGGAATATCTGTTTCCTGGGCTCAGAAGTAGTGTTGATCAACAGAAAAAGGAAGAACTAAGAGTCTAGCCATCATTCATTCCTTGTTTCCCAGGGTGTACTCAGGAAATTTGCAAATCAAGAAAACCTACCCACTTCTGGTTTGGTTAATTTGAAGTTTAACTACTTCTTATCCCAACCAAATTAATTTCCCTATTTTAGAGATTGCTGATGTTCCACTCAGTATTTGTGTAAGCAAAGCAGGGCTCTAAGAAAGGGGAAGATTTTGACCACAAGGTAGCTTTCCAGTTATTATAAGTAAAAGCTGAACATCTGCTTGGATAGCAAATGTCATTTAGAGACAATAAAGGCACAAAATATGAAGGAAATAGTGGAGACCTTTACATGCTAGACCTCAGACAGTGTTTTGTCCTTAGCATGAGTGACAGGAGAGTAAGTTTCCTCTGTTATACAACCTTCTTTGCTGTCAGACTCAGGAGATTTCTCACACACTGAAGTGCTTTGCAGCATTAAAAATGGACTTGTCCTATACTGAAGTGCCACTCATTTCAATAGATGTTTTTCATTACAGTCCAAACTACCAAAATTGTTGAGAAAAGACTTCTCAGTCTGTAACTACTATGATATATTATGCTGGTTTATTATTTAACTTACATTACGAAAGTATTGAATTTTTTGGTCAAATCATGTTGTATATTTGGGCCACAGAATTCGAAAACATGGTCAGCTATTGATGGGATGCTGATGTCTTAGAACAGGTAATATATGGAAACTGTTGGTTGCAGTTTTCTCCTGTTAAACTTGTCACATGGTCTCACAGTGCACCTTCTCTATAAACTCCTTCATATCTATTCTGAAATCTTCCAGTGTAATAAGGTGGACAAGTCAACTTCAGAGACATTTTTTTTCAAGGTTTTTGTTTTCATTTTTGTCATTGTTTTTATGCTTTTAATGTCATAATATGCTGCATGTCATGCCATTGGTTATTTTAATAGCATGTCTCATCATGAATTTAATTTTTAACCAAATAATTAACCCATTATCAGGTTTGCAGATGTCCAGGTATCTATTAAATATGTTATATTTTGTGTGCACTCGTTCTTGCTTTAACAAAGCCATTTCCATTTCCATAAATGTAAATTTTGGTTTAGTCTGGTCAATCTAATATTTGCTTAATTTCTCTGCAGCCAACAAATTACGCCAATCCAGTATATGCAAAGTTATACGTGGATGGACAAAACTGTCGAAACTCCTTAGCAAGTGTTGATGAAAGAAGAGAACTCCTTCCAAAGAAAATAGATATTGGGATAAGGGAGACTGTGGCATAATCTGCTGTTACCTTTTATACTCTGTATAAATGTATAAAATATAAGGATTACTTTTCTATGTACCAACAGTATTATAATTGTTTTGGCATCAGCATTACCTCTGTTTTTTGTTTGGTTGATTGTTTTCTGGGTTTTTCTTTTGCTGATGACTTTTGACTGACCATTTGTAAGGTATTTTTATGAAAAAGAAACTGCACTACGGTACAATTTACAACAATGCTGCTGAAATAACACACCTTTAAATTTGTTAAAATGGCAAACAGCATATTCGTTTGTAGCGTGAAAATGAGCAATCTATTTTCTATGAACTTTTTTTGGTTCTACTTAATCGATGAAGATGGTATCTGCACTTTTTCATTATGTAGTCTGGAAGCTGTAGTACAGTGTGTAATTTTGTTTACTTTAAATGGTGAAAGAATGATTGAATGGTCTACTCTCTTCTTTGTGCCCATTAGAATTTCTCTTCAGATCCTGATGAAGTTAGATAACTTTTCACAAACAAACATAACTTGCTTTTAAATTAGCTTTAGGTTGCCAAGAAGTAAACAAGACTATAGAAATGAAACATCTAATGAGCTGCATGAACACAAATGATTATGTTTCAGAAATTCAGTGACTGTACATGATATACTAAACATATATACCATGTAAACAAGCTTTGTATTTATTAAAACCTTATAGAACATAGTAACGATATATCTTGGAAGCCGAAACCTTACTTGCTGTGGGACAAAGCATATGAACTCCAACAGTCCTGTAGGACAGTAGCCACCCTAGAGCACAAGAGGGCATTGCCTACACATGCTTTATATGTTTATCCACTTAATCACATGCATTACTTATTGATTAATAATTCCCCAACACGTACCAAGCAGTAGGGATAAAACCCAAACCCCAAACCTTAAGCACACTCAGATGATCACAGCATTCGGTTTTGACAATCACCAGAGAAAAAGTCTTATCCATTTAGTGATGTTAAAGAATTCAAAACACAGCAGTTTCTTTAAATTAAGAAAAACTGTGATATTGTGGAGGTAAAATGAACCAAATTACGTCTTAGTGAAACCTTACCAAAGCCCAAGTTTCAGTAGTAGTCGGGGTTAAATGTCAAAATCCAGTTATCAAAAGTGAAAAGCATCAGAATCAGTTTCCAGCACTTCTCTGACCTGCTCTGCTTTCTGTTGTTGCCAAGAGGCAAAATCTGACTCACCTTTTTTAATTTTGATGGAAATAAAGAATACGATTGCTTTCAGATTTGAACTGAATCAAAATATTTTATACATAACTTTAAAGGCACAAAAGACGTGTTCACACATACACTGTGGAGGACTCTTCCTTCCTCTGCTAGACATGACTGACTTTTAGCTATCATAATATATTAACCTAACAGATTAAATATGTTTGTGGTTGCTCTTTATTCCCTTTGTACAAGCATTACAAAAATAACTGCTGTTTTATAAAAGATTTTTGTTGTACTATTGTGCATGCATACTACCTATTTCTAAACTTTGCCATATTGGGGCCTTTATAAAACTCTTGATTTATGTAATACTAGTGCAATTTTGCTTGAACAATGTTATGCATATCATAAACTTTTTCAGGTTCTTGTTTAAGTACATTTTTTTAAATTGAACAGTATTTTTCATTTTGGTTATAATAGTCATTTTGCCTATGTTTCTACAATGAAGTGTTAAATACTTTATAAAAAAATTGTTGACTGATTTATTTAAATGAAACTCTACATACTTAATTCAGTGTGTTGGCTAATTTTTAAATTTAACTTCTAAAATGAAAGCTCTAGGAATAGGATATTGAAGGCAAAGAACATTACTTTGTACAAATGGCTAAATCCCTTTTCTTAATGACAGTTTTTGCTTTTTATACCAATTCTCTTTGAATGTTTTTGCAGCTCTGCACGTATATGGATAACTTAGGTGTATAGCTGTATATTATGTCAATAGAATTTTAAAATTATTATTTTTTCTATAAGAATATTGTATTAAATAGTTTCATACCACACAGCTGTGATTCCACAGGTTCTGCCTTTATTCCACTGACATCATCAGAGATGGATTAGGCCTTCATTTTTTTATTTTTTTTTCATAATTGCAGTTGTTGTGAGGTGTAAGCAGTTTGATATTTGAGAAAAATTTCTCTTGATTTTCTGGCAGAGAAAATCTTATGTTCAATACTCAGGTAGAACTAAATTTTAACTAGTGGGTATACAAGTAGCAGAAGGTTGAAATCATGAACTCTTACATAGACCTGATGAAATTTACTTTTTGTGGTGTCTCAGTTCCCTTTCAGTGAGCCATTTTTATTTGCTTTACACTTGCTTGAGAGTAAATTGCTTTTAAAAAATTAAATTTATTTATTTCCTTAGAAATGCACAGTTGATGTCAGTAGAGCTATTAGATATTGGCTATTAGACCAGAATATGGTCTTAAGTATGTAGGCAGAATTTTGATGGTGATGTTATGCTCTACCACTGCCATGCTTCAAGGTCTTGCAATTACACATCAGTGTAACAATCCCCAATGGATTTCTTTGTTTGTTTTTTATTTTACAAAGGTTCTCTGCAGGAATTCTTTCCACAATCCTTTAAAGCCCCAGAATCAGAATCCCCAGGCTCTGTAGCTGTACAGAACTCACAAGGAGCTGAAGGGTGAAAGATTGAGAACCTGATCAGTCACCTATACGTGCGTCCTCATAAGTTGAGTAAAATATTTTTAGGCAGAAAATTCTATAAACTTTTACAAGGAGCAAGAAAAATGTTTAGCTTTCTACAACTCCACAGCCTTCTTGCTGTTATTAATGCCATAGATTCATGTGTGGTTTCAGTTGGCACAAGCTTAGAAGTAAAAAAATATTGGCTAAATGTGGCTGCATCACTGATTAAAGTATCTGTCTGGTCAGGGTGTAGTTACAAGGCTTTTTCTGGTTGCTTTCCTGTGGAAGCATTTAGTACTAACATTGAGGTGAAATACTATTTCACTGGATTCATCAGGGTAAAATTTTTCTTACAGAGTACTAATGATTTTTCTTAGCAATATGAAGTTGTTTGTGGGTTCCATAAATACCAGGCATTAAATTTATTCATGGAAATGGAACTTCTGATAAATCTAACCTTGCAATATGCTGTTCATTTTCTTATTTTTACTCTTAGGCTAAGGAATACCTACATTTTCACTCAAGAGAAAACAAACATACATGCAAGTTTGAAGGGTGACACAATGTGCTCCATACAGACAAGGTTCTAAAATTCTTTGCTGAATGGAGAATTTCTGTAAAATCATATAGAAAAATAGCATTTGTGCCCAACTTTTATAATTGTGTCTAATGGATCTTTTTTTTTTTCCTCCACAGAGGTTATACTAGTGTATTTATATACTAGCACAGTGGAATCTCTGCCTTGTGATTGGCCCCTTGGTCTGTGCTAGAGTTTGCATAAACACTAAATTATGACAACACGAGTTCAAAATGACAAATTGAGATAAATGATGCTCTTGGTACTCTGATTAGTCATTCCACACAACTAAGACTGCCAACATGAATGCAGAGTCCTGTTGACAAACACACTAGGGAATTCATTTGAGAATATTTATTTTGCTGTGCATTCTTTATTTTTTCGTTTCCAAGACAGTTGTGGTGTTTGATGTTTGCAGAAGGAAAGCTCTGTAGTGGAATGCCTTTAAAACTTCTACCTAAGTTTATTATCTAGCAGTGAGATTGTGGAGAAGGACCTAATCTAACAGCAACTTTTATTTTTATCAAGCCCTTAGTGACCAGAGTCAGTGCAGTCACACATGTTGATCAAATATTGCAGAAAATTTGTATCACATGAAGGTGCATAATGTATCAGGATAGAACCAAATATCTTCTCACTTTTTTTTGGAAGATGAAAAGATGATCTAGGAAAGCAATGTCAGTGATGATAAAAGGTCTTCAAGGTAGTTGGCCTTAAAAATAAAGACATTTTTCATGTGGAACAAGCAGACAAATGGTGAATCTTGTATGTATAGCCCTAGGCTTCTTTGCCAAAGTATTGAGGCCTTTGGAATTTTTCAAGTCTTAGATGGACAGAAGGATGGCTGCTGGAGGGAATGCTAAGTGATCATCCTAGTCAGCTTATTTATCGTGCTTGCCATCTCCACGTGTGAAATACAGGTCTCATGAAAGTAAGGGTTTCAAATTTAGTGCCCATATTGTAAGGTGACAAACAGGAGAAATAAAAGCATAAAGCATCTTTTTGCTTCCCCATGCCAACTGCACATCACTTGGTATGTGTTGTGACTCTCATGACCTCTGCCAGTGGTCATCAAAGTGCTACTTGTATAGAGGGAACTGTTTGCTGGCCTCAAAAGGACATTGAATGAGTTTTTCCTGGGAAAAAGGTAATGCTACTACTAACCTCTGCTGCTGCTACTCAAAGTAATACTAATCCATTTTTGTAAAGGAAAAAAAGAGTAATTTTAAAATGTCAAATATGTACATATACACAATGTATATAGCGTCAGAACTGCTGTGTAGTTACTCTGAGTAAAAAGTCATTTTCACAGGTGAGTAGAAAAGATCTGAAACTACTACAGAAATTCAAGGGAAATATTAATTTAGGATTACTGTTAAGCTCTTTTAACGCTTGTGTTCAACTTGGAAGGGAAAAAAAGGATTAAACAAGCTGGTCAGTGAATTTTTTTTCTTAAAAGAATTCTTAAATAAGCAATTTTGAATGTTACAAAAGTTGGCACTTAAAAAATTTTCTTAAAACATGCTCTGTAGTCCAACAGTTTCTTCCTCGTGTTTCATGTCAGTAATGCCAAGCCTCAGCCTTATGGCACATAAGTTGGTGTTTGATGATTCCTTAGTGCTAAACAATCAGATAAGCACATGCAGATTTACAAAAGCAATAGCCAAAGAGATGATCTGCTCAACAGATGAGTGTTTAGGCACCTGAGGAACTCAAGATACTGGCAGGGGATTGTGACTGAGCCTTGGGGAATGGTTTTCCACCCGCGTTGACATGGCTGGATGTGCTGATGATTAGGTGTGGTGACCTGTGTGTGTGTGTGTGACTCACACTGAGCCCTGTAGCAGACCAATGCCTAACTCAGGGCAGAAGCCTCAATGGTCTTGCTCTGTCCAAAGTGCAGCAGGCAATGTTAAGGCAATTTTAATTCCATTGATGGCTCTCAAGGTTTGGGTATCCCCCACAGGGTTAACAGCAGAATATCCCAAGAGTTGGAGTCCTGGTCAGACTTGAGCAGAATGTGTCACTTCCATGATGGATAGATAGATGGATGCTGTGCCTACGGTGTTTGCCTGTAGACATGACCCAGTGTGAGCATACATATAGGCAAAACTCAAAGAGGAGCAGTGCCAGGTAAGTGACCTTTCTTTCCAGGGAGGACTTCTGCTATTGTTCAGATGCAATGAGTATGTCCTACACTGCCTTTTGCTGGAGCAAGTCTCTAAAGTGTTGGCTTTGCCTGTGTATTTGAGGGGATCTTGATAATTTAATGGA